TTGCACAAGTAACATTCAAATCGTCGTGGATTGCAGTTTTTCTCGTGTGTCTCCTTCGTTCGTTTCACTTTGAATCCTTGTAGGCAAATCGAGCAATGGAATGGGAAATGTTTTTCATGAGTTCTCATGTGCTTATTCAGATTTTCTTTTCGAGTAAATCCTTTCGCACAAATGTTGCATTCAAATGGTTTCTCGCCAGTGTGTTTTCGTCCATGTGTTATCAGCTGTGCTGGACATTTGGCCACATAATTACAAAACTCACATTTTGTTTTGGATTTTACGCCCGATGTCGATCCTTTCGGTTGTTCAGTGCCATTTGAATTGGTCTCAATCTCCAGCCATTCTTCAACAGTGAAAAGTTCTTGAACTTGTACTTTCGCTTTGCCATTAAGTCGTTTTAAGTGCGATTCAAAATCAGATTTTTTGGCGAATCGTTTCGCACAATGAGAACATCGGAATGATCTGGCTCCGGTATGAATGCACATATGATCAACTATGTGTGTTTTGTTGAATGTAGCATATTTGCACAAGTAACATTCAAATCGTCGTGGATTGCAGTTTTTCTCGTGCATCTCCTTTATCCGCTTCACTGTGAATCCTTGTCGACAAATCGAGCATTGGAATGGGAATTGTTTCGCGTGAGTTCTCATGTGCCCCTTTAGAGTATTCTTTACAGAAAATCTCTTCGCACAAATGTTGCATTTAAAAGGCAATTCACCGGTATGAATGCGTATATGATTGACTAAGTGTGTTTTGTATAATGTATCATATTTGCACAAGTAACATTCAAATCGACGTGGATTGCAGTTCTTCTCGTGCGTCTCTTTTGTCCGTTTCACTGTGAATCCTTGTCGACAAATCGAGCACTGGAATGGGAATTGTTTTGCGTGAGTTCTCATGTGCTTCTTCAGATCACCCTTTTGAGCAAATCCTTTCGCACAAATGTTGCATTCAAATGGTTTCTCGCCAGTGTGTATGCGTCTGTGTCTTATTAGATCTTTCGGATATTTGGCCACATAATTACAAAACTCACAGTTTGTTTTGGATTTCCCTTTTGAAGTCGATCCATTCTGTCGTTCAGCACCATTTGAATTAGTTTCACTTCGTTCAACCGGTTTAACATCCACGTTGTTTGACTGCTGAGACCTCTCTGCATCATCAAATGTCAGATCAATCAATGGTGATTCTGTGTGAAAATAACAAAGTTCTTGATTAAATAAATGGCATTTTGACACGTACTTTGATTGAAAATCTCACCTGAAATCAATTCTGGAATG